GGGGAGCGTGGGCATTTAATGGGGGTTAATGAGTTTTTTCTTTTTTTCTTTTTTTCTTTTTTTTTTTTTTCTTTTTTTTTTAAAAAAAAATCAACGAGGAAGACGGGCCTTATCCGTTTTTTTCAAATAGGTTAAGAGGGAAAATTGTTTCATGCGGCCTGGACCGCATGACTACATATGCAGTCCAAATTCTTACTAGAATTGTTATTTATAGTTTTTAAAATTTATTTATTTATTCATATTCATTATCTTCATGTTAAAGGTTACATGTATTTCTACATAATGGGGGCTTGGCGGCATAGAAACTAAACTAGGGTTTCTTTCTTCTGTTTTTTCTTTTTTTTTTAAGGTATTAGTGGGGTAGTGTAGTGGTGTGAATGGAAACAGCAACACGATAACTAAGATGTGAGGTGCTACCACAAAAAGAATGTCTAAACAAATCTCCCCCAAACAAAACATTTTTAAAAGTGGGATCTGGTTTCTATGTGGGGTAAGCCCGCATAAGTAGAAATGCGGGCCTCTTAATAAATCTATTTGTGTGAAAGATCGTCTTAAGAGAGATGTTACCATTCAGTGGTGAAGTAGGAGCACACCTCATTTTGTTCTTAAGTTATTTGAAAGAAAAAGTTTATATAAGGTTGCAACCTTAAAATGTAGAATTACAGATGCACCTAAAAAATCTATCGGAATGGTTGTTTTAATGTTTAAAAACATTCTAATCGATCATCTCGACATTGAGATGTATGTATATAAAAAAATAATGATTTGAGTCCTATAAATTGTGTATCTTGCAACACATTATCTAGACTATCCATTTTCAAGATTTTCATATGTTTCTAGATCTACTTGATTTTAATCATTTTTTGAGTTTGAAATTTTCTAATTAGATATGAAAATAAATTTTAAGATAATCCTAAGAATTATTTACAACAAAATTACATATTATGATAAAATTTGGAAATGCCCTTTAATTGGATTGTTTAAAGTTGCAATCTTATTGAAACCACACCCTTATTTGAATTATGTGATAATAGTTTTATTTTTTATTTACTGTGATGGCATAAAGGAGTTTGTTTTCTTGTACTTCTTACAAGTATAAAGAAATTTCAGTTTTAACTGTCTGAACCTTATCGCCCACTCTTGCATAAGTGTACTATTTATTTGCTCCTTCCATCAAGCTAGACACGTTCTAGGGATACTTTCAAAGTTTGGGGATGTAATCTCTATAACCAATAGACTAATATAGGCAAAATCATTCTGAAATAGAGAGGGGATGTAATCTCTATAACCAATAGACTAATATAGGCAAAATCATTCTGAAATAAACTCTCTATGCACTAGCAAAAGCAAATGCCTCGAGATTCAATAGAAGCTGTTCAATTTTTGAAGGGCTAGATATAAATATCAGGAAACTCAAAATTCAAATTTTTTTTTAAAAAAATTATCTAGTAATTTTTTTAAAAAAAATTATCTAGTAATTTTTATGTGGTTCCTGAAATTTTATGACTATAAAGATCCTCCTTAACATGTGTTTTCAATGAATGCATGAACATTATGTGGTTTGTAAAATTTTAAGACTAAAAATATCCTCCTAAATCACATTGTCCTAACCATCATGCGCGTATAAAACGAACGAGCAATAAGTACAAGGAGGTCACATGTACTTTTAGTATAAGGAGGTCATAGTTACTTTTGTCTATTAGGTTTTGAATTGGAGGTTGCAAGTGTATAATTGATTAGACTCAAAGTTCAAAAAAAAAATTTGAGTTTTACGACATATTATAAGCCATCCAATTTGAAATCTAATTCTATGAGTTAGCCATCCAATTGGAAATCTAATGTCTAGAAGTGATTGTAACGTCCTTGTAACAATGATAAATAGTGTAATAGTATATAATCACATTTCTAATTAACTTTTATTGTATGTATTTCTAATGAATCCTTTAGTAAAGTCGTAGATCCGTCCACATAGAACCGTGTGTGAGAAAAATGTCATGAGATAGAGCGAGAGGGAGAGAGAAGCACCTTAAAGCATATGCATTGCTGATATAACATATACCCCCTCTATAAAATTATAGTCCAAATAATGCCTTAGTCTTACGAAAAGCCCATAGAACCCCCAAAATTAAAAAAAAAAAAAGAAAAGAAAAACAAAATGTTTTAATCCCCTCATTACCTTTTGGATTGTCCAAATATAATATTTATCCTTCTTTTGTTTTTCTTAATCACGATGTTATCTAAATCTTGGAAAAACTCTACCTCTCTTTTTCTCTTCTTCACTTGTGAACCTCTTCCTCACTTGTGAACTTCTTCCTCTTTCTCTAGGAACCTTCTCTGTATATTCTCATCTTATGAACCTTACAAGTACGCTAAAAGAGGCATCACAACCTCCATTCATACAATGAGGTTATTGGAAAAAAAAAAAAGAAGTAAATATAATAATTTGTATAATAGAAAAAGCAAAAAGGAAGGTTAAGCGCGTTTTTTCTTGTCTTTTTAATAACTTGAGAAATTTTATGGGCTTTTTTTAATATGCCCAAGGGGTTATTTACGATAATAGCTTTATGGAGGGGGGTATACGTCATTCACCCTGAAATGGAATGGGTGTGGTTTGTATAGAGCCTAAGCTCTAAACAATCGAATTAGAGCCTACCTGCAAATAGTGTCGAGAAATGTGGTTTTAATATTGGAAATCTTTGTGATAACCTTCAAATATATTTTCATATTTGTTTACAAAGTTTAAAGCTTAAAAAATAGTATAGATCGACAGATCTATGAAAACTTGAAAATCTTGAAAATTGACGGTCCAAGAATGTGTTACAAAACACACTATTTCCAAAACTTGAAATCCATTGTTTTCCTCATGACCATGCATCTTGATGATCGATTTGAAGATATTTGGGCATTAAAACAACTTTTTCTAGTGAAATTTTTGAGGTAGAGTCAAATTTGATCGTTTAGAGTCTCAACTCCATATAAACTTTTCCCAAATGTAATAGACCCTAAGGGGCTATTTGGGTAACTGAAAATCTATTACGTGATAATAGATTACAATGAAATATGTATTTCCACTCTTTTGGTATAATGAAATGGAAAAGGATTATGCAAGATT